TTGTCGGCACCTAGTTATGAGAGAAGGGGAGGGATGAAAGAGTTTGTTGTCATTTGTGCCCTGAGCTAGAGCATCATTCCGAGATTATAGACCCAAAAGCGATTCCTGGAGAGTTTAGGGGCATCAGAAGTGTGTTACTGACTTATGCTATCATGTACATTAACGTCACCAGAGTAACACCCTTGGGAAGAGAGGAATAACAAATATTTGTGATTTTTTTGTTCTTTAAAATAGTTTTTATTTAGTTTATAGAAATGATAGTTTCCGCGCATGACAAACCAGCAATTGCTGACCCGAACACGATTATGTGTGCTAATATTAAATTCTGCCGCACTTAATATATGAGCTGCTCTCAAAACTTTCCTTGCTTTCTGTGAGTCTGTGTCACCATTCTGGTCCTTCAGTGGGATGTGGTCCTCAACTAGGAGTCAGAATAGCAAAATTAATGTCGAGGATGACATCGATGAGTGCATTGAGACAAGAAAATAACGACCACAACAGACGCCGAAGGTCCTCCCGATTTTCTGGCCCGTTAAAAGGCAGTTTTCTGCCGCCCGGTCGCAGTGCTTGCTCATGTGGTAACTGTTGGGTCCTGTAAAGTAATAAGGATTTCGCTCTAAGACCGTGCTTAAAGTTTGAAAAAGTGTCCTGAGATAAGAACTTCCGATTATGAATTGCCAAATACAAGATAAAATGAATTGCAAATGAAATTATCATACCCATGATGTACAATATGTACAAAAAAGCCTCTTGGACCTATACTATACTTAGACCTATACTCAGCCAGTCAGCCATTTTTAATTTAGTGTTAATTTTGTTCAATTAGCTCGATGTATTTTAACAAACTCCTCCTAGAGAATTGATCAGATCAACTTTAGATTTGGTCAGTGCACTTTAAAGACTATGGTGGTTAAAAGTGGTGCTATTTGTGACTGTGTATCGAACGCCGTGCCCGTTGAATGTCAACGTTTCACCACAAAATAGGAAGCTGTCATGACTCCAGTATACTCTGCCCCAAACTTCACAATAATCCATATTAACAGCAGAGAGCTGATAATGAACCCAAACGGTGAATTCAGTAACTGCAGGAAGGAAGAAACCAGAGATTTAGATGAAATTTGAGCAGATTATTTCTTGTGGATATTGATTAGTTAAAATCAAAATCGCTCATTTTATTTAGGTTCATTGTACAGTTTATCAGTGGTTCTCTAAAGTTATTGTTGAATATAATACGAAATATCTATAAAATATAATCTGTTTACTGCCTGATTTCTTTTCTGACAGATTCAATGTTTTCTTCTCATCGTTCTAGCAGCTCTTTGGTTGTTTTCTGATGCAGGACGAGGCTGTTGATCAGAGACTGAAGCTCTGTAGAGTGTGGATGTAGCTAATGTTCAGATTTAGATCTTAAATAACAATCTAAACTTTAAAAATAACAATTTTGTTCGGTTTTCTTTACAGAACTTAATGAAATGCTGGGATATCGGCCTGGTGTATATAGCTTTGGCGACCCCTACCGGAGGTCAATCTCATGTCCCTGAAGTTTATGATTTTTCCTTTTTAATGTTTGAACGCTCAGATTTTATTGCTCACTTCTTTATTATCTGCAGAGTGCAAGCTTTGTGAACTTTAAGTTAATATCAACAATCAGCTGGAAAAATGCATGCATGCACTTTCTGGAAATAAACTGCTAATAATGTGTATCTTCGTTAACAGGAGGTCAGGACGCACCGTCCTTTTTTGTGTGTTTAAGTCTCTAATTAAAGGACTTACGGGGCTCAGCTCAGTGTGTGAGAATAATATTATGATAATTTGAGCCCAAACGTCACATTAAAACACATAAAACCAGCAGCTGAAACCAAAGCTGCTTCACAGAGTCTGTGTGTTTCATGCTAATCCATGCTAATGCTAATACACACAAACACACACATTACACTCTGCTGCCCTAATTAGGCGGCTATACATAATAATATCTGGCTGTTCCAGTGCTGGATGATAATGAGGATGAGCTGATAGAAACACACTCGCCCTCTCTGCTCACAGGTGTAATTTCCACTCATGTTTTAAATTATCTAATTTTCAAAGCTTTTCCCATAAAAACAACTGAGTAAACATTCAGTAAAATATGTTTCAGTGGAACCTGGTCGAATAAACAATTTAATAAATAATACAAAAAAGGTAGTGACAAACACAAAGAGCTTCTGGTTAAAGTCTCTCAGTAACAAAACAAAAAAGAACAAATAATATTATTCACTGTGAAAACAATCTAAGTTTTTCTAGTTTATTTCACTGATATTATATGAAAGATTAATAAAACTACAAAAATATGATAAGTGAAAAATCTGTAACTGTAATCATAAAATTACTGCTTATTTAAAGAAATAAAAAAAGATTAAAATACATCTGCAAATACAAGAAAATACATTTCTAAAATATTATTAGTGACATTAACAGTAAAAAGTATTAGTTGTGTAACTTTAATGGATTAGTTAGTTAA